AAAAATGTGCTGATGCCGCTGGTCCTGGACTTGGGGGGTGGGGGATTGCCCTCTGAGAAGCCCTGCCCCAGCTCCCCCTGGTTTCCCACTTCCCCACTTTGCCAAGATTACTTTCCTTGCTGAACATCTTCAGGATCCATCCCAGTCTTCAGTTAGTGAACCTGAAAATTTTCTATTCCCCACATCCGACAGTTTTACCGAGCGTTTATTGTATCTCTTTTCAGCTGAGGAAAATGTCTTCTTTGGGCCATCAGTTGGTTTTCGTGGGCTTGTTAAAAACCATAATCCACATTCCTTAGCGATAACTGCTTATCTTCATTTCTTTTGATGTTGCGATTTCCAGGCATTTGATGTTCATCTTTTCTGGATCTTAACATAGGAGAAAGCACCTCTGTGCCATGTGCGTTTTGTGCTTGGTGGTGGAACCAACATTTTCCTCATTGTTTCCTTCTGTTCCCGATTTCCGATGGGGTAGGGCCCCACCTTGGTCATTGCTGGTTAGTTACGTCCACTACCTCTCACAGCAGGAGTGGGAGACAGGGACACACTGATAAGCAAAGCTGGTAGCTCAAGCACTAGCGAAAGCAGTAGCTGACAAAAGCCAACTGCTCCTCCTCTCCCTTCCACTTCCTGACTACGACACACCTCCAACCAGATTGCATCCAAGCAGGGAGAGGAAGCCACTCGGCTCTCACGCCAGCTAAGACTCACAGGACACTGGGCACAGCTTCTACAGCTGAGATTTTGTACACAGCCTTCTCCCTGGGGAGAAAGAGCATGTGGATGAGAATCACAGTAACAAGGCCAAAATGAAATGAATCGTCCATTGCCAGAAGCCTTTGCCTGGAGCCGAAGTGGAGAAGCTACCACAGCAGCAGTGACTGTACCAACCTGGCTTGTCTCGATCCTATAACTTTGCAACCCCAAGTGCCTTCTGTGAGAACTCTGCGGCATCAGAGCTTCGAGGCTGTGGTGCTGACGGAGAGGCAGAGTGTCTAATTTTAAAGCGCTTGCACAGCCCAATCACATGAGTGTATGTGGATCCTTAATTCCTTTTCTAGGTCTTGCTTTTTACTTAGCAAACGATGCCATAAGCACCACAATTAAGTTTTATTTCAGGGACCAGCAGATGGCAGAATGGTTGTCACTGGACTCCCACGTAGTTGACTGTGGTTGGAATCCTGGGCCCAGCGGCTTAAAACTCCCACTGGTGGGTACCAGCAGTTGGTGTAATGGCTATGTAGCTGGATTCCCACGTAGTTGACCGCAGTTCGTGTCCCGGACCCCGTGGCTTAGAACCCACGCGGGGCGCGTGTGCGTGCATGCCCAAGATCCCAAGAGGAGAATGGAGGAGAAGGGACTGCGGCGTGACCATCCCCCCTGGCGGGTGATTTCTCGCTTTCTGTCTCTGTCTGGCAAGTGCACGCGCCCTATAGCGAAAACATCTCAAAAAAAAAAAAAAAAGAAAAACTCCCACTGGTGCGTGTGTGTGTGTGTGTGTGTGTCTGAAATCCTGAGAGGAGAATGGAGGAAAAAGGATTGTGGCATGGCCATCCCCCAGGGGGTGATTTCTTGCTTTCTGTCTCTGTTTCTCCGGTGAGTGCACATGCCCTACATATAAAACAAAGTTTTATTTCCGTTTTTGGTCATTTTGCTGTGAAATGGCCTTGTCTGCAGCCTATCACATACCAGCAAAACAATGTCCTCTAAATTTTCAATTGCATTTCATTTCTAGAGAATCCAAGGCTTAAATGTGATCTATTTTCCAACTTCATATGGACTCGGTAAAACTTATACTCTGCCCCCTTCAAATTTGGCATCATGTAAATAGTTACTAATTTCTTCTCATCAGTTATCAAAAAGCCACACAAAGCAGCTCTGTGGGGCAGCAATAATATGTTATTCAAGAGAAAACGGATCCCACATGGCGCATGGTTCAAATCCCCAGCCCTGTCAGTCTGAAACAGATTGGATACACACGTTAAGTGCCCGCGATCCAATGGGCTGAGAGACTGGGAGGATAATGGCATAACCAGACTCTGGAAGGTGCTCCTATCTCCCTTTTCAGGTATTCTAATATGAACAAAGAAAAAAATAGTTTTTAAGCAACAGAAGAGTTTTGATACAAATGAAGTAGCTTCTTTAAAATACTGCATCTGAAATATAATCTCAAATTTCCTTAAACTGATAAGTAAAACTTTTTATGAATGATCCTCATACACGTAGATAATGTCTTGACTTTTGCCCGATGTGGATAACGCACAAGACTGAGATTCAGATCCGCAATTTGTGTAGCCAACTGAGATAATTCAGAATCCTGGAATAAATATAATCTGTGGAATTTGGCTTTAGTTATTACTTTTGAGCTGATCAAACATGTGAGTTTAAGGATCATCCTCAAAGCCAAGTCATGCTGTCAGCTTTTTCAACACTGATTATGAAACCTGATTTTGAAACTATATCTTTTCTTCAAAGGTAACAGATTGTTCTTAATGTATGACATTAAACACTGTACCATATAAAAAGAAAATTAAAAATTTAAGATTCAAAATACATCCAATTCTAAGGCTAGCCTCAGAAATTGGTTAATACATAAAACAAGCAAAATAAATTAATTTCTTAAGCATGCACATTTAGCACCTTAAAATGAGGCCGCGATTTACAACCTATGTTGGAAAGTATCTGTGTGCTTAACATTGTCTCCTCAGCAATCTACGTTCTTCCCATTTATTACAGAGATGCTGCATTGGCGGGGGATGCCTGTCAGAAGTCCTCAAAACGTGAAGAGCACAACCCAAAAGGTAACACACAGTCATGGCACCTTGTTTCATCAATATTGGTCTCAGACTGACTCAGCCTATCACTGAAAAACAACAGGTTATAACCCAGGGCAAAGTCTGAACGTCCAGAATTTTAGTCCTGGCTTAGTTATGTGATTTTGGGCAAGTCACTCAACTGTGAGACCGTTACATCTTTGTCAAATGGCATGGCTTCAAGAGTTATTTTAAATGTAATTAAAGTTGTATGTACAGATCATCTTGAATCTTAGGTAGATAGGACTAGTAAGTGACGTGCCATGAAGGTACTTGAACACCTTTGCCACTTCAACAGCAGACAACTAAAGGAGCCGTGATCGTAGGACCAATCTCTGCCTGAGCCACAGAGCTTGGCAAAAAGAGGGGGGAGAAAACCGTGTGTGTATCTCCACTAACTTCTCCCTTAAGTCCAACCAAGTAAGTTAGAAATATAGTACATGCCACAGGTCATTATGGAATCTGGGGGAGCACATGACAACAAAGCCTACCTTCACCAGTAAAATGAGAGTAGTAGTATTTTTTACACATCTACGGATGCAGCCCACAGGCAAGGAAGTTGCAGGTTTGAGACTCCTAGTAAGCACACTCACATTTCATGAGAACCAGGAGTGATCCTGAGGGATGCAGGGGTGGTTTGGCACTACCTCCCCGACATTCCACATCCACCCGCCTCTCCCCCACCATATGGCACTCCCTTACAAAAAGTGCCCGGTAGAGGGACCAGCAGTTACCATAATGGCTATGTCGCTGGACTCCCACGTAGTCGACCGCGGTTCGAGTCCCGGACCCAGTGGCTTAAACTCATGCCGGGTGCGTGTGCGTGCGTGCCCAGGATGCTGAGAGGAGAAGAGAGGAGAAGAGATTGCGGCGTGGCCATCCCCCCTTGGGGGTGATTTCTCGCTTTCTGTCTCTCTGTCTCTGTCTGTCTGGTGAGCGCATGCACCCTATAGCAAAAACCTCTCCAAAAAAAAGAAAAAAAAAAAAGTGCCAGGTAGACTTCGTTCCAAATCTCTCTTGCAACCAGATTCGTCCTGTTTCATTGATAAAGAAATTCTGGAGCATCCATTGATAAGGACCATCATTTTTAAAAAGAACACAATGAAGTAGCCCAGTACCACATTCTACACGGGAAAAAGGGACCATCGCACTTTGGGAAAAGGAGGCGCTGCCACACCGAGCACCTATTTAACACAGAAAGCGATCAGGGGCAGGAGTGGGACATGTAACCAGAGCAGCAAGCCCTCAGGAACAGCTTCGGAAGTCTTTCAGAGTAAAAGCACTCAATTTGCACAAAAGAGCCCTTTGTCATCCAGGCCCCTTTAAGACACTCTTGATAATACTTTTTAGAAAGCACAGCTTTTCTCCAGCAGCGCCAGGCGTCACTTATTCCTCATTTTGACAAAGTGGCATCCAACTTCAGGCATGACTGTATATATAACTCGACGTGCAGCTGAGCCGTCATAAACACGCCGAGTATAAAGGCATGTCAAAAAGACAGTTTTCCTCCCCGAAGCATGGCCCCAAGAAGCCATTATTATAATAGAGTAGGAATTCCTGCTACAGGTTATAGATCTATAATACTGACAATAAAGTCCCACTTAGGACATGAAGGCTAACACTGGGACATGATATAGTTAAGACAGTCCACTATTTTAGATTGGCTGTACACCTATTCTTCACCAATTTGTGTGCGTGCATGTGTGTGTGTGTGTGTGTGTGTGTGTCTCCTTGCAGTAAAGCACAAACTTCGGAGATGAGATAAAGTACAACGTGGCTGCTGGTGAACCCCATTAGACCATCTGCAGAAAAACGGGAAGCGTCCCCAAAGCCCATGCTGCTGGTGTCTCTTTGGAGGCCCCCCGCTGAGAACTTGGTTGGTTTCTCTTATTGGCACTCTGAGTGAATCAAGACCAGGCTTGAAGGCAAGCCTTATCTCCTACAAACACAATTCCACACAGGACTTAACACAGTACTTTAACTTGTTTAGAACTGGATGCAAAGCTGGAACTTCCTCAAAGGCAAAAACTCTGCACAAAAAGTATGCAAAAGCAACTACTAGTTTTCCAAGGACAAAGACACACCTGCAGAAAAGCAACAGCTCTGTAAATGGAGCAGGAGGTAAATGATGGGACAGCAATAAGAATGTAACGAATATGGCATAGGATGACCTTGGAAAAAAAAATGCTGCCTCAATACTTTACTAATTAAAAATAAAACCCCACAACACGATGTTTTAAGAGAAAGAGTCCATTGCTATGTTTGAAGAAGAGTCCGTCCAGGGAGTGAAGGGAGTGGGCACGGCCATTAAGATATACAAGACTATGTAAGTCTAACATTTGTTTTCAACAAATCGACAGTCAGCGCCTGGCAGGTAAAGTGGTGCTCTCTAGCTGTGTCCAGGGCTCTTTTCTTGTGGCATTTTAAAAAACGTGGTTGGAGCAGAGTCAGCGGCTTTATCTGCTGCAGAGGTCCTGATCGACCACTCAGAGTTTGGAGATTTCGGGGCTTGTGACGCTGGTGTGGTGGGCTCTGTCGCATCCATGTGAACTGTAAGGTTGTTACAATAAAAATGAGAAAAAAAAATCAAGAGACAAATTAAATCAGACACCTAGAAACAAAATTTTCTTCATCTTTACATTTCATGTCCTATTAACCCAGGTGGCCGTGTAAAGTTTCTCTTTTTTCTTTATAAAATAATAAAGTCTTAATTTAAATAAGGTATTTCTCCACCTGAGAAAATGGCTTTACCTGAACAAATGAGTAAATTCAGTAACACAAATCCATGCTGTAGTAAAAAGTAATTTATTTAAGCACTTAAACACTGCATACTCTTGATATTATTTCTTTTTAAAAAATGTTTACCAGGGGGCACATGTGCTCACCAGAGAAAGACGAGAGAAAAAGTGAGAAAGCACCCCCGTGGGGCAGATTCACATTGTGAGCCCCTCTCCTCCATTTCCTCCTCTTTTAAGGATTTTGGGTACACACACGATATATGCCCAGCATATTTTTAAATCTGCTGGGTCTGGGATGTGAACTGCACGGTTGGTCATGTGGAATATAGCCACCTTAGCCACCATGCCATGAGTATGACGGTTCATATTTCTTTTCTTTTCTTTTTTTTTTTTTGAGAGGGTTTTGCCATAGGGTGTGTGCGCTCGCCAGACAGAGAGAGACTGAGAGACAGAAAGTGAGAAATCATCCCCCCAGGGGGGATGGCCATACCACAATCCCTTCTCCTCCATTCTCCTCTTGGGATCTCGGGCACACATGCACATGCGCCCGGCATGAGTTTAAGCCACTAGGTCCAGGACTCAAACCACAGTTGACTACATGGGAGACCAGCGACATAGCCATTATGCCAGCTGCTGGTCCCCCCGATGGTTAATATTTCTAACCACGGGTATGATGGTTAGTATTTCTACTATTTCTTAATGACACCCTTAGAAGTAAATGTTACCTCCATTTTCTGAATCAAAAAACAGAGAGATTAGATGTTATTCAAGGGTACAACAGAGCTAGTTAAGAAGCAAGATTCAAACTCAGGCGCAGCCCCAGGGGTGCAGCAGCAGCGCAATGCTCCACAGTGCTGTTAGTCATATGAAAGACTGGAGTTGAGTTCCCTGGTGGACCTTTACACACCAGGCAGGCACATGTGTGACATGATCCTGGCTGGCTAGGAAGGATGGGGGAGGATCATGGCATGAGACCCTGTTGAGGATGCTTGTCTCTCTCACTCTTGCTGTCTATCTTTATTTAAAGAAATAAATTTAAAATATTCAAACTCAGATACTGGGCCCTAAGCCCTGTACTCTTTCTGCCATACCCTATGCTTACAATATGACAGTGTCACCAATAAATACCATACAACAGGGACCAGCAGATGGCATAAGGGCTGTGTCGCTAGACTCTCACGTAGTAGACTGTGGCTCAAGTCCCGGATTTGGTAGCTTAAACTCACGCTGGGCACATATGTGCACGTGCCCAAGATCCCAAGGGGAGAATGGAGGAAAAGGGATTGTGGCATGGCCATCCTCCCTGGGGGGTGATTTCTCGCTTTCTGTCTCTCTGTCTCTCTCTGTCTTTTGCATCCTATAGCAACAAAATAAAAAAAGATACCATACAACAAGGAAAATGGTAGTAAAATAACACAATCAGGCCCAGTATTTTTCAACAGGGTCATAAAAGACATTCTGGCCAGGATAAGCAATGCCTGTGCAGAGCCGTCCTGTCCATGTTAGAGCCCTGACCACTGGGGATCCACTCATTGCAGGCCAATAGCATTCCCGAAGCACCGTGACAACTGGTCTCTTCACACTTTCAAACACTCCTGAACAAAGGAGTACGAACCACTATCACTACCTCCTACTCTGTATTTTATATACACTAAAATACAGTAAAATCTAATAATAAAGTTTAGACTTTACTCTGTCACCCAAAAACTCCACTCCCAGGAATGTATCCTAGAACAGTAATTTTCAAATTATGGATCACAAATCTATTTAGTGGGTCATGACCAATACTTTTTTTTCCTCAATGAAAAGAAAAATTAGAAACTTATCCGAATGCGCCCAGGGTTTATTGCATATTTACATATACACCCATATACATATTTGAGCATGAGCTTCTTACTATGGGCTCATGTTTAAAAATCTTGAAAGCTATCACTCCATAGCACGTACGTAAGAGTTTTCGGAGGGCAATAGCTTTCCAGTGGTTTCAAACTTCAACCACATCAGTAAGAAATGTACCTAACAACTCAAATCTCCCTCCCCTGCCCACCTTCTTTCTCAATTACACACTCACACAAACGTACACAAATACTCACATCTGATAATAAATTTTACAAAACAATATCCATCCTTGCTACATGGTGACCAACTACAATTTAAAAAAACCCAACCCTAGAAATACTTTCTTTTTTTGCTGCTAATTTTTAAAATTTTGTTAATTATTATTACCATTTTAATTTGCTATAGGGCACATGCACTCACCAGAGAGAGAGGGAGAGAATGCAAGCTGCCAGGTCTAAGACTTGAACTGCAGCTGACCACGTAGGAATCCAGTGTCTTAATCATCATGCTACCTACTGGCCCCTTGTTGCTAGTTTTTAAAGAACTTTCCTAGAGGGTGCATGTAGTCACTGGAGAGAAGAAGAGCGAGAGAGAGAGGAAGAGAGGGAGAGAGCGAGAGAGAAAAATAGAGGTAAGAGAAACAAAGAGAGGGGAAGTGAGAAAGCACCTTTGGGGCATGGTCACACCTCAATTCCCTCTCCTTTCTCCCCCACCCTCCTCGGC